TAATACATATCGAGAAAGTTATATATTACCTGAGACCCAAGCTCGAGCCAAACCTCGAATGCCTTGAGCTGATTGGTGAAGAACGGGAAGTGTGGACTGTTCTGTCCGCTGCTGTCTGCGCCACTTTTCGTGCTACAAAGGTATGCAAAATGAAACTCGATTCTTAGGTTCTACCCACTCTTCGTAAAATGGTATTGTGTAATGTAAGAGTTAGGCACTGATGCTATACTCGACGCGGTTGGACTGGTTCGGATTCCCCTTGGAACGATTTGCAGAATTGCATGGTGTGAAATTAGAAGGATGTGAAAAAGCGGATACCCTTACAACTAGACTATGGCTATCAAAAACCAGTGGGAATCATGCGCTGTCTATAAATCGACCCAATAGTATCGCTACTGGCACTTTTGGGATAAGTTGGGATGAAAGACAGTAAGTATACACATGCATCAGAATCCGATTTCTGAATACATCCAAATAACCCCCCGGAAACCCCGACCGAAAACCTCGCGAGTGGACTGCCTGTTGAGCACCAGTTTTCAGTAACAGAGTACACTCCCGTCGCCTAAGAGCATCAAAAACATGAAACTACACCTCCAGGCTTGACCATACAGTGAAAAGACAATTGCAGGACCACAGAAGCGTTTAAAAAAAAAACAACCCTTTTACCGACAAAGACACCAAAACTACCATCCATCACGTAGAGCGAAGCAAATACACCCATTAGCATTACTCTCCTAAAGTACGTGCATATCACTACATCCCCAAACACATCCCAGTGTGCCACATGAGATATACGTGCGTGGGGCGTTGCGATGGAACAGAAGTATTGTGCAATAAACAAACTCCTGCCACGTCAATATCAAATCCATCAAACTGAACGAACACTCCACACCAACCCAATGACATTTCTCGCAAAGTACCTGCTGATCGCTATATCCACACTCACGTCCCAGTGTTGCCACATGGGGTGCTGGTGTGTCGGGGGTAGAGACGGGTACGAGACGGGTGTGCAATTGACGCCCGTGAGAACGCGTTCGGCCAAGAGAAAGTTGCGGAACAAGGCCGCAACCAGCAAGTCCTGACGGAAAAGCTTCTGGAAAAGATCGCGCGGTAGCACATTCCATGCGATTGTGTCGGTAATAGCGGTGAAGATCCAGAAGAGCTGTGACGCGGGTTGGTGTGGCAAGGGTGAGAGGCCGATCTTTTCGTGCTATACGAATAAACACATTGGTGAATATGATGACTGATGATTTGAGGGGAGTTCCTATAAATGGTTTGCACGAGACACCTAGTGCCTGTGGCATACAATTTACCCAGCATTACAGAAGTAGCCGCGGCCTAAGACAAACAATGTCGTGTGGTGAGTTGGAATGCAACCCGCACCAGTATGCAATGGCGAGGATCTCGGTGAACAAATCTGTGCTTGCCGTGCATATACCAATCCAGCTACGCACTCGCATTGGTCGCGCTACACTGGGCACACTACAACCATACAGTGCCACACACTGTTGGACAGCTCAAGCAATCACACTACCACCAACAACAGCACACGCTTACCTCGCCCTTCATCGTTTTCCTGTCGGTCATTTTGCCGGGTATACTATCCAGCACGCTCGTGTCCGTGTGCACCACCTGCCGCTTGTAGTACCCCAGAGACACACACTGAAAAGCCACCTCAATAGGCGTCGTCAGGCACGCCGTGAACAGATCAGCCGGTAAGCTGGGATCCATGGGCAATATCTCACCGGCACTGCACGCGGCCAAGTGTATGTAGTCCTTGATCAGTGTGGGCGGCGGGTGTCCGGTGTTGACTCTCGACTTTTGCTGCGGTACGGCAGGGTCGGGTCGTAGATATGTAGACGAAGGTATTATAGTAGTGAGTGGTCCAAAGGTAAGTTTAGTTCTGCTGAAGTGTGACGATACGGAACAGTTGTGGGCAGTAGACAATAGAGCCGCGTTGAGCCCAACGCCACAGAAAACGCTGTAGTTACAGCCAGGGATTAATACTCAGAGAGTCGGAGTAGTCCCCAGTGATATATGATCGGGTGCGTTGACCAGCACAATTCCAAAGTACATGCACATTGCTTGATAGTGCACAAAATACACATCGATCAGAACAATGAAACAGAACTATACGATCGGCGTTCGATGTATTTCGTAGACGTTCTTGCTGACTCCCCGCTAGACATACTCGACCAATCGAGAGCTAAGTTTACTAGGCTATGAGATGTATGGGGGGGGTGTCTACATTAGAGCAAGTCCTCTGGGGAGATGGAGATAAAAATGAAGTGGGACAATTCGGGTACAGCAAGGGAAGCCCGTCACACACACATACACACTCGGCTGGCTGATTAACTACACGCAGAACGAAGACACCCCCATAGATCTTCAGACCCAATCTGGTTCTTGAGCGCATCAACTGCAACGGCCACGCGCAAAAGCCACTCAATACTGCAGTTCAAAAAACGACGCAGTTTAAAGTCGACACACGGAATTGGTTTGTCAAGTGGTACCTGAGCCTCGTAGTCCTGCCTTCGCTGTCGCGCAAATGTATCGTACGATTTCACTATCTGCCCGGCATTCGAGCAGTCCCACACGAAGATGGATGGACTCGTGATGAACGATTGAAGGTCGTACAGCGACAGGGGAATGTATTGCGTGAAGTTCTGCAGTGCAAATGACGTAGTAAGCAGATGAGTTCGACTTCACAATACCATGAATGGGCTACTCTCAACACAGTAATAAATCAACAAACAGCTTTGTTTCTAGGTGCATCACACTAATATCTCGCACAGTTTCCAGAGCAAGGGCATCGCTACGACACTATTATTATAACTTGTATGATAGCTGATAGTAAACTGTCGTGTACGTCTGAGCTATATAGCTAAGAAGTACTCACATTAATAATCCTGCCATGTGACTGTGGAATGGTCACACCTCCGCTGGCAATGCGGAGGCCACCACCTGTTCGCATCAAAAAAGGAACTAGTGAAAAGTCCATATCTGATGAAACGAGACATATCATGCTGATGGATGCTATGTATCGTTTCACACCTTCTGTGTGATGTGCATTTTTCTCGGGAGTTGACTATTCACCAAATGACCTTTTGCAGCGAACTGGTTGTGGCACCCGCATCAACAGCGGAGAATACATGAAACTATACACATCATCCATCAGCATGATATTCTCGTTTCGATAAATTAACTAGATTGATTGGAAAGCGTTAAGGCCGTTACGACGGCTTCAATACGCGTTTTATGCACACGTACAGTTGACAATATGGCATGGTTCTAGGTCAGCACAAAGAAGGGTTTACACTATGCAGACGCAACCGATACGGTTACATTGAATGTAAGCTTCCGCAATACCCACCTTGTTGAACACCCATATCTCTCCACAGTCCGTAGGCATAGGAACACCATGCCCATTATAATGTATAAGCACGCGTTCATCTTTTGCGGCGCGCCGCAGTTGCATGCACATCTTCTTCACCTCTTCCGTGGTGGGATCTAGAGTCTGCTTGAAGCGAGCGCGCGCATACATGCGACTATATTGCTCTTGTAGCTGGTTGCCAATATGCTCTAGGGTCTTCTGGGACGGTGATGTGTTGATATCTGTGTATATGGGTGATTGGTGATCATGAGCAATGCAAGATCTGAAAACGGTTGAGTGTATTGCTACATTGCTGCTTCGTGATGTCAAGTTCGTGTCGGAAAAAAACCCGCGGGGGGAGACATTTGCTCAAAGGGTATACACCACACCGGAAACCCAAAGCAGGAATGAACAATTTCTACAAAACATTGATAACTTCTATATCTATAGAAACAGGTGGGTCGAGTTCTAATCACAGGCGCAAGAACGATATCATGAAATACCTATCCACGCCTCCATGCGTGCGCACGGATCGGTCTTCAATATGTCCGGTGGATCAACCCCTATATTCAAGGCCACAATCAGTCCCACGCAGACGGTGCGCATACGTGCTCGTATCCGCCATTTCATTACACACTGTTCCGTGTGGGGAAGCTCTTCATTGCGATGCCTGTCGCACGCGAACGCCTCGGGTACATTCAGCCAATGCTGAGGGGTGACAGAGAAGAATAACAACATTGTAAGATAGGTATTACGAACTACGCTGCACAGAAACTAACGATCGCAATGCGCTACCAAGATTTGCACCATGGGATAATCACAACCATGGAAAACTCAAAATCGGTTTCTGTCGATGTACATGGAAATATGTGTGTGAGTCCTCACACGAGTCTCCATAAAACTGACCTTGTATGTAATATATATATATATATATATATATACGTACACACACAACATATATATACACACACATAAATACACACACACATACACACACACACACACACACACACACACACACACACACACACCACACCACACACACAC